CTTTGTGTTTTTTACCACTGTGATGTCTTAAGAATCACAATATCTATATTTCTCACCCCAGCCAAAGCAACATATTAAGTTTGCACACATTGGAAGGGCTAATGGACGTGGAAATCTGAAAATTTCTCACCAGACCTTTGGCATATGAAGTTAGTCCAGGACACTACCCTGATCCTGATTAACTTAACTGGAGACCCATCTCTTGTAGAGGGAATTCAGAGAATCAAGCTCCATTGCATAGACCAGCAATTTGCCCCCCCCCGATGTTCTCCATTCTTTGGGAAAAGAAGAGCCTCTCGATGTTTAACCTTGTCTGCCCTTGTATAACTTGTGGGAGTAACCACTGTCTAACCTATTTAATTGGTAAACTTCCAATAGCAACAACGTTTTGTAAAAGGCAGGTGGAAAATTAAGTGTTTTGTACAGCCAGCAATGGGATCTTGGGATTTAAATCCAGTTGCGCACAAACTCCAGTCAGCCTCATTTTGTTTCCTGTGATCTGATTTCCCATATGTTAATATAACAAGGTTACTTGCTTCAGATTTACCCAGTTTATACATCAAGGCAAATAGAAATGATGAAAAAGCTGTAGATGCGCAATCTTTCTAAGGGTTCACCCTCTGCAGGACTTTGGGTACAATGTTATAAGGCTGTGAACGATGTGGGCTATGCTGAGCATTCTGGGGGAATCACGTGAGAAGTCGAGGTTGTGAATAACAAGTCACATTTTCCAGCAGAGTTCTGGATGTTGAGACCAGGTTCTCGCTTGGAAGCTGTGAGAGGCCTATTAACGGGAATTATTTTTGTTATCGCCCTTATTAAATGCAAATCTCACCTTATTAATATGCAGCTTCTCATCATAGAAACTACATGCCATGAATTCCCAATATGAAAGTCAGAGTAGGCGCTTGATGACTCCAGCCCAGCTCATGCTCCTCCAACCTGCCAACCTGGACACCCAGCACCAATGTTTTAGGGAACCGGCTTTATGCCATGGTCATAAGTATCCAACAGTGTCTCCGTGCCGTCATAGCACATCCCTGATACACTCACAGTATGCATTTTGTAAGCCACTGCCAACTGTTAATGGGATACTGCTGCAAGGAAACTTTGTATACAAGGACAGGCACCCAGCTCTCAGACTGGACCAGGGCATCTCAGGGCTACTCACTTGCTCTTGTAGCGCCTACCTAGATTCTCTCAGTATCCCTGTCTTTCGTTTTTGTGATTGGTCCCCCGAGCCACAGTTTAAAGGTTCACAGTACCTCTATCTTCCCTTGTTCTACAATGCAGACACCAAGTCAGACAACCCATGATATGATATACAGTGGTCATCAGCCAAGGGAGCAGACAGCATTCTGTATGGCACATTACTGCCTCAATCTCATGCTTTCACCAAATGCCAGCAGCTTGTGGTAAACACAGTACATGTAATGCAAGCAAACGGCATGAAAGTCTAAGCAGTGTCGTCTTCAGTGAAGTCCAGGGAAACACCCGGCTCAGTAAGTCAGGGGAAGTCAAGGGTTTTGGATATAGTAATTTGGATCCTCTGGGTAGTTAGAATCAAGATCCTCTCTTCGTAGAGCACCCCACCGGTCACGTTGGCTCTTTTTGCTTGTGTAGGTTGTTTTGTCCTCTACTGAGAGAAAGGTAGCGATTCAATGAGATGAACATTGACAGCACAGCTGTTAGTGCTGGGGTAGGTGGGGGAAAAGTGGTGAGGTGCCCCAAGTGAGTGAACAGGCAATACAGAGGCTGTGCAGCTTGCATAGTGTGGGGGGAGGGGTGGGTTGGGTGGATGAGAGTGAGTGAGGGAAGACTTTGCAGGCAATAATGAGAGTGGTTGATGAGAGCCTTAGTGGAAGGTAGGTGCAGTAGCAGAGATGGGGTGAGTGTTAAGTTGCAGAGAGAATGCAGTGACATTTAGCCTAGCAGAGCGAAGGAGGTCATCGACCTTCCTATATTGCTGGCCCCTCCTGTAGACGACTAAGTTCACATTAACCAGGGTGGCAGGGTCTGATATTGTGGCCTGTTCTGGCAGTTCTGGTGGAAAAGGACGCCCCTCCTCTGCCTGCATATTCCTTTAGGTTAGTTAAGGCAATGTTAAAGGTTCCAGCACTGAGGCAGAAAACTTTGGCTGCACTCACTTTCCTCAAAACAGCACCTGCTAAGGAAACTTACGATTGTAGACATAGTGCAGTCACGTTGGGGCCCAGCATCCAGTAGTATTCTCTTTATCTTCTTTGGAGATTTCTGTGCTTTTACTTTGTGCTGACAGTCAGTTCAAGCTGGTAGAAAGTACTTTGTTGCTCAAGAGCTTCCAGTTAGGACAATTCTAAGTCACAGCATCAATTCCTGTATTGTATTTGCATAAGTTTTATTTTTGGAAATTGACAGTACTGATTAATTCCCTGAGAGGTGGTTTTCTTCATTCTTTTAATTCGCCAGTGTCCTTTCAACTTGGCCCCCATATTTTTGGCTTCCTAATGTACGCGCATTTAAATTCTTAATGAAACTTTTGAAAGGAAGGAAAATAATTGTGAATTATGCCCATTGTGTAACATACACGGAAGAAAGACCACATGACCAATATGGTTTTCTCATGTTACCACACAAGAAACAGCAACTGACTTGGTTTCCTGCTTTACGGTAATGCCATATTCATCTGTCTCAGATTGTTGAATGGGCAAATGCATACCTCTAGTTTAAATTTACTCTGAGTAATTTGTTTTCCCTAATACCAGAATAGGCAGCAATCTTTAATACTAAGTATAGTTCATGTGCAAAACCAAACGGTGAATTAAATTTGCTGCACTTAATTGAAATGAATGAATATCTGATGCAAACATTGAGTAACTCACACAGAATTGTAATGGGCCAGAGGTTCTCATATTTGCTTCCATTGAATGAACTTGCACTGAACTAAAACCCTTTCGTATTGTACTGAATACCAATCAGTCATGCCTCCTTCCCTTGCACTTTTGATTCCAAACACTGTCTCAAACAGTAAAAGAAAATCTGACATCATAGCCCAGTCTTGACAAGGAAAGGAAAGAATTGCATTGTGTTTGGCATTATTTTGAGCTGCAGTAAAAAAAATTCAAAACCACTTATTTGGTATTAGTATAGTCTTTGTTGTGATGGAGGGAAAGTGGCATCCAATTTGTGCACAGCAAGGTTCCACAAACTGATTACTAACAGAATGTCTGTTTTACTAACAAGAGGAGAAGGCTAAATGTTGAGCAGGACATCAGGAAAATCTCCCTTACTGGTTCTCATCATATTAGTTCAGCATCCATTGTAGAGAACTGATTTGTGGAAGCAAGTACTTATTTGAATTGTGTAAACACAGTATGTTTGGCACCAAGCCATTTTACCAGGTGACTATTGCAAAGGGGATTGATAACGTCCAGTAGGATTGAATGGTGGGGACAGTGTGGCAGGTGGTACTCAACATTCATATTGAAGTCATGAAATCTAAGGCTCAGTTCAGAATGCAGGAAACATGGATATTATTAAGCGGCTCTTATTTAAATAAATATTTCCAATATTTCTTCTCTTTTGACCCAACCAGTTGTTGTGTGAGGTGGAAATGTTGGAATTTGAGCCCACGATAACTCTTAGGTTGTGGTCTCGTGACAGCCTCCTGTAACCATGAAGCAACTTTATAATAGTTTTTCTCAATCATGGGTAACTCAGTGACGTGAAGATTACAGATTTTAATTTTAACCCCATTGTACTCGTTACCACACTTAATTTGTACATGTGTGATTTTGGGCACCCATGTTCAACAACGACATTTCAAAAAATTTCAAAACATAGTAGGATTCAAGCACTCAGGCTGTCTATTTTGTATGGTGATGCAAACAGAATTGGAGAAAGGAAAATCAAATGAGGATATGATCGCAGAGATGCAGAACACAAATTTAAAATCTGTAACCGGCCTCAAACAAGTGAATCCCTCACTTTTCGTGGTCTGCAAACATGGGATGCAAAAGCATAATTGGAGTAATATGAGTTGATGTTCTTATTGCATTTATTAATATAAGAGAGGAGAGGTGTGGAAATAACTTGTAGGTCAGAATTGAAGAGTAATTCCTACGTATGAGAAATCTGTAGAGTGTAGTTGTTTACCTCAGCTGAACGGTAAGAAGTATAAAAAAATGTTCTAAAGTGTACCTTTCTTGAGCCCTGGCCCTCCAAAATGCTTAAATAACAGTAAAGTACTGTGGAGGCTGGAGAAACTTAATAGGTTAGGCATCATCTGCAGAGAGAGAAAGTTACTGTTTCAAGTCTGATTTGCATCCTCTTCAAAGAAGAGTCTTATCAGGACTGAGACATTAACTCTGTTTCTATTTTCACAAATGCTGCCTGTTCTGAGTTTCTCCAGCACTTTCTGTTTTTATCCGAGGCTGCTCCACAGTCTGAGATATTTTGAAGTATGGCCATTGTTGTGCTGAAGAAACCACAGTAAATAATTTCTGCACAGCAAGGTCCTACAAAGGTGAAGTAAGGTTTTAAGTATCCAGGAATAATATTAACTGGAGCGTCAGAAAGGGCTTACAGATCTTAATCAATTGATAGTATGGACTCGTTAGCTGGCTGCTTCATAAGTTGGACTGGCTATACTAGGATCAAGGATAAATTGTACAGCCTGGCTGTAATACCTGATAGGCCAAATGCCGTTTTATCTTCAATACTAACAGTCAAATGCTAGAAACATGCAACATGGTTTTTAAAAATTAATTGTCACCAGTCTTTTTATCTAATTTGTAGTTGGTCATGGTTGTCGAACAGGGCCACAAGAGCTCCTGTCAGGTTCACCTCATGAGAGAAGCTCTGCTGATCATCAGTCAGCTGTCATGTTGCTGTGTCACTTTGAGTTGGTGTCTCAGCTTTTCACACATGTGGTTGTAGTTGCTGTATCTGAGGGCTGCATGTCTCCATCACTTTTTCAAGATGCATTAATATTTTTCCTGTGTGTTTGTTTCTCTTTCCAGTTTGGTAATGAAGAGCAGCAGCTGGAATGGGCAAAAAGGGAGAGTGAAAGAGCAGAACGTGAGAGATTGGAACGGTTGCGAAAGCAAGAACAAGAGGACCTAGAGCTTGCAATAGCACTCAGCAAAGCAGAAATGTCTAATGTGTAAATAATGCCCTGGTCCACTTAATAAAAGGCGTGTGAACTGTCAAAGTGAAGGGCGAAAGAAATGAAAAGGAAAGAGAAAATGAGCAGACACTGGGTATTCTGAGTGCACTGGACAGTAACTGGCTCCAACCCCACCCCACTTCCTCTCCAGATGGCATCTAAACAATCACTTTGTGGACCAGTGGGATAATTTGCATGGACTTGGTTGGGGTGGGGTGGGAGGTGGGGGTGGCACAGGAAATGAGGTTGCTTAAAAAAATACTCTTTGTAATTAAAAAGGAGAGAGAACCTGTACTATTCTCAGTCAATCAGCAATTTTAGATCTTGTGTTTATGCACATGAAAGACTTGAAAGCTTTGTTACCAATGCTAACTAAATTTAACTACGGTATTGAGAGAAGTAAAGCCAAACCCCTGCACTCTGTCTCTCAAAGGAAGAAATACATAATATATATAAACTGCCCGGTTTGTTCTCCTCTTTGTGGTGCAAAATGCCTAGTGGTGTTTCTGCAAATTCTAAATGTACAGTGTTCGGTTTTATGTTTTATAACAACCCACCCATACCTCCCCATCAAACATGCCTTAGTGATGCTGCAAGATTGCAGTAAACTAAAACCCTGGACAGGAACCACCTTGTTCAGTACAGCTCATTAACCTGTAAAGACTTGTACATTATGTCAGTTATATTTGTCCAATCGAATGTTGTGTAACTTAAAAATCTATCAGATTTTAACTCATTGCACATTGCTTTTCTTTAATATAATAAATGTGTGAAGACATTCCTGTACAACTGGACAATTCAGCGCATTCCTGATGTTTCAGTACTTTTTGACTGTAGCACAGCAGAAATATGTAAAGGATACCCAAGTTATTTCACTGTCCTGTGTGTTCTTATAGCCTCTAATAAGATTGTGCAGACTCTTTTCATGACAAACTGCACATGCTGATGTCATAGGCCTGGAATTTTGATTTTGAGTCTTTTACAAGGAGACATGAGGAACTTGAATGTGAATTGTACAGAATGTGGAACAGTTAGAGACAATTAAATGGGAGAAAGTGTGACATTGCTTTTAAATTGTATGCATGAATGGAAGAAACTAATTTGGGTCTTATACTATCTGTGTCATTTAATGAGTGTTCTGAATATAATGCATCCAGGGGCAGAAAATTACCCTTTGTCATGCATGATGTGACCTTATACTAATATTTTCCTTCCAGTTTTTGATTGCTTGTTCTTGCTGTCAAATGGTAACAATTTGTACTTGCCCAGTACTGGGAACACTCCATGACATTTCCCTTTGTGCTGTTGAAGTAAGTAGCAGTAGGTTCAAAAGCAACAAGAAAAAAAAGTTGCTAGTTCCAGTGAACATAATTACTTACATTATTTAAATATTTTCAACCTGTTGCTTAATTGCTTTTGTTATTGATGGTGAATCCTTGTTTGATTTTTCAGTAGTGCCCAATAAGCCTGCACATTGCAGAGTGACAATGAATGCATGTATGACCATGCCAGTTTGTTTGATTGCTACTAGATTCTGCCTTATGTATCACAGTTTGGTAACTGTGGGAATATAGAGGTGGTGTATCTTTGGAATTCTCTACCCCAGAGAGTGGTCTACCTCAGCATACTAATGACATGAAGCAATATGGGGAAAGTGGGGCGAGTGCCATTGAGGCAGAAGATCAGTCATAATCAAATTGAATGATGGAACAAGCTCGATGGTCTGAGTAGTCTCCTGTTTTTATGTTGCTTCAATGGGCGTCAAGTCTGTACAGCGGAAAAAACAGGAATGGTGAAAATGTTTTTAAAATTTGTCAATGATTTTCAGCCTTTCTATCTGAAGGGAAGGTAATTGTTCATTCGTATGTCGTCAGTGCTGACTCTAGGTTTTGCTATGGGAATTGTACAGTTTCTATATATGGTTTTATACTGTTAAGCATATCATAGAATGCGTTTCATTCATTTGTTCAGGTCAGCATTATTACTTCACACTTGTGTATTTCCAAGTGTTCTCACCAGGCATTGCCAAAGTTTGGCATGATTATGATTACATTGCTGAAATCCTGGTGATAACCATACACATCAAATCCTGCCCAATTTGTGTAAAACATAATGAGCTGCATCTTTCTTTGTGTTTATCTTACAGTGCCTTCATCCCACATGACTCTCTGGTTTATCCATGCCCATATCTTGTGTAATGTTGGGAAGTTGTCTGGAAAGAAATACAGTTCTGCACGGTTATAGAACACTTTCACAGAAATTCCTTTACCATAAGAACAGGTTGTGCTTGTTCTACAGCAGGATCTGTAGAGGTTTGCCCAGACAGGTTCTCTTTATGGTCTCTGAAGGTCAATGCTCCCATCTCTGCATGTTTTGTGTGACTTGTACATAATATTGAGAACAGGCTGGATGAGGGCCACTGCACAGCAACACCTGTCTTTCTAGGTTCATCGAAACATACACGACTTTTTAAAATTCAGTTTGTGCCTTAATTTTAACCCTCAGAATTGCCTGATGCCTTCATTCTGTTTTACATGACTTCCCTAGAGTAGGTTTCAATTTAATTGTTTATCCATAACTCTGCATGTTTGACATTTTTTACTTCTCCCATTTTTGCATTCCTTTACAGGAGGTGGACGACATCCACATTTATTGTCTATCCCTGAAAGTTGTTGAGGTGTAGAGTTTCTTTCTTGAGCTACTGCAACCGTATGTTGAAGCTGCATTCTTGGCGCTCTCAGAAAGTGAGGTTCAGGAATTTGACACAATGACGATGAAGCAATGGTCGTATGCGTTCAAGTCTGGATGTAACTTGGGCAACGTGGAGGTGGTTTTCCCATGCATCTGCTGCCCTTTTTCTTCAAAGTGGTAGAACTTGTGGGTTTGGAAAGTGCTGTTGGAGGAGGCTTATTTGAGTTCATGTATTTGGTGGATATTACTGTCACTTTGTTGGCAGAGAGAATGAATGTTTAAGATGTTAGATGGTGCTTTGTCCCAACTGGTGATGAACTTCTTGAGTATTGCCAAAGCTGCACTCATCAAGGCAAGTACTCCATCACATAATCTAGGTTTAGTGGTTTAAGTGCCATGAAAGTCGTTGCATTTTATATGCATTTCTCCATTAGCTGAGAATATCCTCTCTCCTCCCAACCCCTACCACCGACGCCACCACCAGTACTTCAGACATTTTCTATACACATTTTTATATCTTCACGTGCTCTCAGCAGGCTTGGCTGAGGTTTGGAATTATTGTGATTACACCATTGTTTGTATATCGTTCACAGTTGATCGTCTTGTGCCCTGCAGATGGTAGTCAGGCTTTGAGGATTCATGTGGTGAGTCACACATCAAATTTCCTAGCCTCTGATCTGCTCTTTTACGTGTTCATGTGGCTGATGTGGTTAATTTTCTAATCTGTGGTGATCCTATTCACCCCATCCCTTTCCCAAAACAAAAACAGACTCTTCGTGGTGGAGTAGAGCTGCCGTTGAATAACAAAGGGAGGTCATTAGACTTCCCTTTATAGTGGATGGTCATTGTGTGGGACTTGTGTTGCTTAGCACTTGTCAATACAAGTCATGTTGTCTGTGATTGCTTTGTTACCTGAGGAATTCTAAATTGAACTGATTAATCATCAGTGAATATCCTGTCTTCTGACCTTATTATAGAAAGAAGGTTATTGATGAAGCAGTTGAAGTTGGTGAGATGAACACGATCCTGAAGGGTTACTGCGTAAACATTCTGAAGCTGAGATGAGTGGTCTTCAAAAATCACAGCTATTTTTCTTTGTGATATATACAACTCCAGACATTTTGAACGTTTTCTCTTTCATTTCCCATTGATGTGAATTTAATTAGAGCTTCTTAATAAACATTTGATCAAATGCGGCGTTGATGTTGATGACAATAGTTGTTATCTTACTAAGGCTCTGATGAGGTCTGGACAAGTAATCCTGCTAGAGCCTTTGCTGAGCATTGTTGAGCAGGGTATTGATAATTAAGTGCTGATTGATAGCACTATCAACAACTTTTTCCACCCCTGATGGTTGGGAGTAGGCTGATGATACTTGGCCAGATTGGATTTGTTCTGCTTTCTGTGGATAACACATAACTGAGCATTTTTCCACCTGGATGCTCTATTAGTTGTACAATCATTGAATTTTGTCCATGATACTCTACCTTTTCTATGCATTTAGTCTTATTTTGCTTTTTGACCAGGTTGATATGTTAGTTCAGGATGTGTTTCATGTTGCTTCTGGCATGCTGTTTCATTTTCTCATTTTTCATCAACTTCTTTGTCAGGCCTGTGCTAATAACTAGCTAGCAGAAATGAGAGACTGACCCTCATGAGTTCAAATGCATTGCCTGAAAAGGTATTGGAGGCAGACTCACTTTCAAAAGTGATTGGGTAAACATGCTGAAGAAGGAAACATCAAGGGTGTTGGATGTTTTTGGATAACTCCTGCAATTGAGAGATATGATGTGCTGACTGGCCAATTCCTGTGCTGTAAAATCCTGAAACTTTCCTCCATGTCTGTTGGCAAATGTCTGGTCCACTAGACAGTCTGCATAACATCACTGCCAGATTCATAGCCTGACTCTTTGGTGAAATACAGCAATCCCCAGCTGTCTTCTCCAGTATTGGCACGTTTCCGTTTTAATACACAAGATATTTGAAGAAATTATACATGTGGTGACATGTAAGATTGCAGCCGTTTATTTTGGCATTTCTGTTCTTGAAACCTTTATGCTTCTAGTCTGTCTTATTTTAATGAACAGAAGTAGGATGCATATATTTTTAAAACTGTCCCCCAGAGCCAAACCCACTCCCTAAATTTTGCATCAAGGATTAACCAACCTAAGCATCTACCATCATTTCAAAGCTAGCATCTTAAGAACTGTAATGTGCAATATTCTGGTTGATATAGAATACAGGTACTTGATTTCTAAAGCAAGATATCATAGAATTGTTCAGTGGTGTAGAAATGTCTTTTATAGCATTAGTTATGTTGGGATCTATTGTGTTTTTAACATGCTGTTAGATTTCAGTGTTCCCACAGTATTTGCGTTTCTACCCTGGCACGGGCAGAATTTAGCTGGAGTGAAATAATGGGTGGAGGGCTACAGATCCAGACCAGTTTAGATGTATTAGTGATGCGCCCACTTAGGCTTGTTTCATGTCCACTTAAGTATTGTGTCAATATTGTAATTTTGCTTGGTAATCTTTAGGAGCTGAAAGAGATTTTACACTAAGCTCTGTGCAAAAGTTATCTCATGCCTTAGAAATTCAAGATTCTGTTGTGGGAAATCTGCAGTGGTGCTATTTGTACATGGAAGCAGCAGCCTCTGACTGCGTGTTCATAACTTGTTCGGCTCAATATCAGCAAGATTGAAGCCATCCTTTTTGATGATTCTTATAAACACACTTCAGATCCCAGTTTCCACCCATCTGAATAGTTTTCAATCTTCATCTGAGCTCCTACTCTCCGCAGATTTCTTGCTCCATATAAACTCTTCCAACTTGCAATATACTGTGTCCTTTCCTGGAGTTCGGGTCAGATCATCTCCCCATATTTCCTTCCTTCACTTTTAGTTTTGCAGAAGAACCACTCCCCACGTTCAAACACCCTAATCTTTAGTACTCCAATCATTGAGACACCTTCCTGTAGCCGGTCATTTTAACATAGCGTCCTGCTCGCATGCCCACGATGCTGCAATGCTCCACTGGAGGAACAACATCTTCAGACCGGGTACTTTACAACCTTCTGGACTTAATATTGAGTTCAACACTCTAAAATTGTGAATCAACTCCCATTCTTTCTCTTTCGTTTGGGTTTACTTGTTACATTCTTCGTCACCATATCCTATCTACCCTCCCCCCACCCTAGTGGGACTGTCTGTCCTTTCAAGTTTGGCATTAGACACACCATTGTTCTGCCATTCTCACATTCCAATCACTTGATCTGAACTATCAACTTCCTTTCTCTCCCAGCACTCTACACCCCACCCACCCACAACTGTAGCATAAATGCTGCCCCCTCCACACTTCAGCTCTGATGAAAAGTCATCTAGACTTGAAACATAAGCATACTGTCTCTCCATGGATGCTGCCTGATCCGCTGTTATCTTCAGCATTTGTTGTTTCAGATACTTCTGTTGATTTCTCCAGCTATTCCCACACTTCTACATTTGATATCCTTTCTCAGAAAACCCTTCCATGTCTTGCATCCCAGCCATTCTCCTGTGAATCCCCTACATTTTCATTCCTTCATGTCTAAAAGGCAGAATCTTGAATTTCCCCACTGCATAACTGATAGCCAATTAACATTCGATGTGGTTTGACCACTTCAAATTGAACTGAGCCTTGTTATCCTTTTCTAAGAGCACACATTACCCAAAGATTATCCTAGTAGGCAACATAAAACTCAATAAATGTGTTTGGTCTGCCATAGACCAGCTTCATCCCGCCGCCTTGACCTGTCCGTCCTCCCTGGACTGACCTATCCCCTTCCTAACTCCCCACCTACACTCACCTTTACTGGCTCCATCCCCGCCTCTTCGACCTGTTTGTTTCCTCTCCACCTATCCTCTCCTCTATCCCTCTTCTATCCGCCTCCCACTCTCTCTATTTATTTCGGAACCCCCTTCGCCTCCCCCTTTTCTGATGAAGGGTCTAGGCCCGAAACGTCAGCCTCTCTGCTCCTATGATGCTGCTTGGCCTGCTGTGTTCATCCAGCCCTGCACCTTGTTGTCCCTTAAAATTTCTAACTGTGCCTTCACATTCACTTCTAACAAATAACAAATGTGAGGAACTTGTAGATTTCTTCACCAAGATGAAGATCACATTCAACTACCTCTGACATTTAACCTCCTTTCCACTTTAACCCTATTTTTCTCAATCCCCTATTGACCAATTCTACCTCTTCACTGTTCTCTCAGCCCCATTCCCACAAAACTAGCTGTGTGTCACAAGCTGATATGAATGATTTTCTCCCTTCTTTGTTTGATTGCCATCACAAATTCCATACCTTCTGGCCACAGCCAGTTTAAATGAGATTGTGTGTAATCCTGCTTGACTCTGTGCCAACTTCTAATCTACTATCCCCTCTATTATCAAAGTTCTACTTACTTCCATCTCTCCAATTCTTAACACCTATTTCTTTGGTCAAGCTTTTGATTATCCCTCCCACTCTGCTTTTCTGGCTCAGCAGAAGTTGTTCTTTGTGTCTCTGTGATGTTTGTCAATTTGACACAGTGCAGGTGGAGTAGATTGGGAATTTTGTTTGAACAGCTTATGATAGTTACAAAATAATTGAACGCAGTGATGGTAATTGAGTTGATTTTAATTTGTATTGAAGTCTTTGGATGAGTAATGAACAAGACTTAACAAGGAATTCCCATAGTTTACAGGCCATTTAAGGTAAATTATTTACATTTCATGAATGAACAATGCTGGTTGTGTTCCCTAGTCCCAAGATTTGGTTTGTTTTTCTTCAGGGATTGAGGAGCAACTGTGTTCTGAGGAAAGATGGTTTGAGATTTAATGGATAAAATCTGTATTCAGGAAGGGATTGCGCTGGCATCTGGGTTAATGTTATGAATGGGCAGTAACTGTGACAGGATTAGATGTATACTGGGGACAGCCGGGCTTAGTTTATTGAGGAATAATTGGAAACAAAAAGGTCCTGCAACTAGTGAAGAATGTGTTAACAGACCCTAGTTCTGTGACAGAGTAATCTAATTAACAGCCTATATATTTAGCAAAGTGAAGAATTTGTTACTCTTTTTCTGATGTTTTCACACTATTTTCCTTCTATACCTCTGTTCTCCTTTGAAATGCTGTTTAAAATGGACATCTGACTAATCTTTGGGCATCTACTATGGTAACTCTTTCTGTGACCCAGTGTTAGCTTTTGTCAATAATGCACTTGTGAAGTGCTTTGGGACATTATGCTATGTTAAAGATGCTATATAAATGCAAGTAGTTGGAGGGTCCAGCCTTGCATCTTTTGACAAGGGACAGCAATCTATGTTCCAGAAATGTTCTCAATCTTGTTTATGTCATAATTTGGAGGCTCTTAAATCTCTTGCACTTGCCGGAGCTTTCTGATGTCTTGTTGTTTCTGTCCTCCTTCAATATATACATGAAGAATGTCCACTGAGGGGATGTTAGACCTATAAGAACAGACTTATTTGAAACCACGGATGTCGCCATCTGTTGAAAAGAAGAAAAATATAGTTCATGTTGAGTAACTTAATGCTGAAAACTCTCACCTGTCTTTATCTGAAATCCACTCAGACATGAAGTCTGAGTAAATTTCAGGTTGTCCAAAACTCTCTCGCTCGTGTTTTGGATCAACTACCAAGTTTTATTCTTCTATCGCCTCTGTGCACTCTGACCTCTACTGATTTACAGTCAAGTAATGCCTCCATTTCAAAATTCTCTTCTCTCTCTTCAAATTCCTTCATGGCCTTGCAGCTCCATACCTCTGCAGTCTCCTCCAGTACTACAACCCTCAGATAACTGCATTTCTCAAATTCAAGCCTCTTTCGTATCCCTGGCTTTAATCACCAGTGGCCTCACTTTTAGTTGCATTAGTCCGATGCTCTAAAAGTTGCCTCCACACGTCTGCCATTGAACCTCAGTTTACTTCTTTAAGACACTCCTTAAAGCCTACATCACCAATCAAATATCATCAACTAACCTAATATCTTCTTTTTGGTACCTCTGTGTCATGTGTTGCTTTATAATGATCCTGTGAAGTGATTTTGAATGTTTTATTAATTAAAGGTGATATATAAAGACATTTGTTGCTAATCTTGTGCTTGTTAGCAGTGTATTGATGTGGAATGTCAGACAATTCTTGACACAGAGGAAACAGTACCAGATTCTAGCTAGGCAGCTTCCAAATGGCCTGAAATCTCCATTTACAGAATCACAGAACTGTTAAGGTGAGGGGGGGGACACTCACTGTTCCCTCAGTGTTGGCAGAATTGTTTTAACTTCTGATTTATAAATCCTGAGCCCTTGTCAGAAAGAGAGAGAGACATCACCAATTCACAAGAAACCACTTTTTCAATCCCCTTAAAGCTGCAAATAACAATTCTCAGAGCATGGCTGTTGCAAGGCTGAGGGGAGAAATGCACGTAGCTACATTTACTGCAAGCAAAAGGAGCATTTTTTCACAAAAGAAACCCCATTGGATCCATGTAACTGAAGACCTCTCAGTAATAACTACATTGTATGAAATTCTAACAACCTGGTGGAGAAGTAACTAGCATTAATTTGTTTTATAATAGAGTTTACAAGGTGTGTTCCTGTTATGAGGTTGATTTCAGATGATTTGAATTTGTAGATACTTTTTACAAATGATGCATGTGAAAAACTGAAAATTTTGGAAATAGTGCATCAGCTGCGGCTCAGTTGGTAGCATTTTTGCCCCGAAGCACAAAGTTCCAGGCCCTGAGTACAAAAGTCACAGTGAACACTCCAGTACTGCCCTGTTGGAGATGCCATCTTTCAGGTGAGTTTTCAAACCTTGGCCAAAGGCATATTATCTGGTGATTATCATAATCCTATTTGGGGGAGTTGGCAAATTCGCAGCTACATTTCCTATATTAACAGTGTACATTCCTCCAATTCAGGTCTCTTTTGCATCCATGGCTTTAGTCACTCATGGTCTCACCTTTTGTTGTGTCCATCCCATGCTCTCAAAGTTGCCTCCACACCTCACTGCTCCAACCAGACATCATCAACTAATCTAATTTTTTTTTGGTGCCTCAGTATTGTATTTTGTTTCATAAAATTAACACTTTTTTTAAAACCAAAGCGCTTCTTTGACTGTAAAAAGGCAATGAAGGTTTTGAAAAACTCTATATAAATGCAAGTCATTTTTAGAATGAGGCTATAGATGACATTATGAAATATTTAGAGGATGGAATTTCAGATGAGGTGTTGAGAAGATATCCTTGAGGGAGTGGGGGTGTGGGCATGGAATTAGCACTTGCACTCATTCTTTTAAATCAACATTAATTATGGTGTCAGCCTTGATTCTTGGCCCTGAATCAGAATGTTATGGATTTAAACACCAATCCTGACATTTGAGCACATAATCCAGTGTACTGCTGAGAGACCATGAGAACATAGGAAATAGGAGCAGGAGTATTCTGTTTGGTCCCTTGAGCTAGCTCTGTAAGTCAATGGCTAATCTGGTCGTGGCCTTAGTTCCACTCTCCTGTCTGCTCCTTAGGACCCTTGTCTCCATTGCAGACTAGAAATGTGCCTAACAGCCTTGATTCAATGGCCTATTCTTCATTCCTATCTGTAGTAAAGAATTTCCAAAGATTAATGACCCTCTGAGAGAAGAAATCCCTCCTCATCTCCATCTTAAACAAAATCATAGAATCCCTACAGGTCAATTAGCCCATTGAGTCCATACTGACCCTCCAAAGAGCATCTCACCCAGACCAACCTTGCACCTATCCCTATAACCCTACATTTCTCATGGCTAATCCAACTAGCCCGCATGTCCCTGCATGCAATGGACAATTTAGCATGGCCAATCCACCTAGCCTGCTCATCTTTGGACTGTGGGAGGAAAGTGGAGCACCTGGAGGAAATCCACACACGCAGGGAGAATGTGCAAACTCCACACAGACACTCGCCCAAGGCTGGAATCGAACCTGAATCCCTGGCACTGTGAGGTAGCAGTGCTAGCCACTGCCACCATGCTGCCCTATCATGGATCCTATGATTCTAAATTGGAGACTATATTTTGAAATCATGCCCCCTGTTTATAGATTCCCCACTGAGGGCAAATACTCTCAGCATCTGCCCTAGAACTTGTTCAGAATCTTGTATGTTTCCATAAAATCACCACTTATTCTTTTGAAATTCAATCAATGAGTGTAGGCCCAACCTGCTCAATCTTTCTTCATAATGCAAACGTGTTATCTGCGGACTTGACCATGTGAAACTTCTCTGAAATGTCCCCAAAGCAAGTTTATTCCTTAAATAAAGTGATCAAATACATATCACTGTAGGTGAGTTCTACCAATGCTCTGCACAAGTGTCGCAAGACCTCCTAACATTTTACTTTTGCTTGCAATAAAGTCTGATATTCCATTTGCCATACTGTGCCTGAAAACTAATTTCTTATGATTCACATACAAGGACACCCAGATTCCTCCTCCCACAACATTCTATGACTCTATTTACATATTATTCTGCTTTTCTATTCCCAACAAAATGTTTCATTTCCCATTTCCTATCTCATATTCTACATGCCACTATATTGTAACTATAAGCCTTTCAGAGATTCTTTGTGAACTCTGCAGAATTTGCTTTACTATCCATTTTTGTATTGCTAGTAAATTTGGCTACAATATAGTCAGTCCCTATATGAAAGTTACTAAATAGATTATAAATAGTTGAGGCCAAACACTGGTTCCTGTGGTATTTCACCAGTTAGTTTGCCAATTTACAAATTACCCATTAATCCTAGCTGTTTCTTGTTCATTAGCCAATTTTCTGACCATATTAATAAATAACTTCCAACACCATCAGCTCTTAGCTGTCATGTGGCATCGTAACAAGTGCCATTTAGAAAGCTAAATGCTCTGCAACGACTTGCTCCCCTTTATCCTCCCTGCTTGTTACATCCTAAAGGATATTTTTTTTTCAATACAGCCTCCCTTTCAGAAAATCATCTTGACTCTGTTTGATTGTATTATGACTTTGTTCATGTCCTGCTATTATTCCCATCATGAACCACAGACTAACTGAACAGTGGTTATCCTGCTATCAGTCTCCCTCCTTTTTGAATAGGAACCTTAGCTGCTTTTTATAAACTTCTAGAAGCTCTTTATTGTCTACTCCTATTCTTGTTAGTTTACTCTCATCCTATATTCCCCCTGTTTTCTAAAATTTCCCGATATTCTGGTTTACCACTTTTTTGCAGTATTGTATGTCCTTTCTTTCAATTTGATATCTTCTTTAACTTCTGTATATAGCTGTTAAATTCCATCCAGAAAAATGCAATTTTAACATTATTTATAGTGATGAATTATCTTTTTAGATGTCTGGCATTGCTTCTGTACTGTCTTACCTTTTGACTACTTTTCCAAGTCTGCTATTAGCCAACTTTAATATCTTTGTAATTGTCTTTTCCAAAGGTTTCAGACCAAAGTTTCTCACCCCCAAACTCAATGTGAAATTTGTTATGATCACAATTGCCTAGAGGATTTGTTACCATGAAATTATAAATTTATCCTCTCTCATATGTTTCCGTTCAGATGCTGTCGTAAGTATAGTTTTCAAACTTATCTTCAAGGCTACTGTTACCAATTTGCTTCATCTATCATTTGCTTTATGTGAAGGTTAATGCAGCTCACAATTGTTGCAATACTTACAAGCCCCAGTGTGGCTTGATATATACTCTGACCTGGAGTGTAGCTACAATTAGAGATCCTACAAATTATTCATGCTAATGACTTTTTCCTTTTACAGGTAGTTCTCCTATAAAACAATAGTTGTGTTGTGTGACCTCGCACTATAGAAAATTGCGTTATAGGGATATCACTAAAGAAAATTGCTATATCTGTACAGCAGAAAGTTTGCATTATCCAAACAGTGTCCACTATTCATCAATTGCATTACAGCCAATTCATGTTAACGAAACATGCGTTATTGCTGAAATACCTGTATTGTTCTTGTCCCCATCCAAACTAATTCTGCATCTTGTTCTCCTGAATCAGTCACTTTTCACAACCATACTGATCTCATCCCTTAGTAACAGATATATCTGACTTCTTTTTTCTTTCTACCTACCTTTTTGAAATGTTAAATATCTTTGAATATTCAGATTCAAGCCTTCATCACCTTGCTACCAAGCCTCTAATTGTGCAATACCCATAGGCATCGTACCCATTTACTTGAATTTGTGCTGTTAATTTATCTATCTCATTACAAATGTGTGAACATTCTGATAACAAACTTTAAATTCTGTCTTTTTAATACTTTTCCCTACCACAACCTTAATTGTTGGTGCACATGATCATATGCACTGTTCCTTTCTGTCACACACTGGTTATCATTCCCTGTATCACTAGCCTGCTCCATTTCCTTGCCCTTTTATCATTAACTTTCTAAATATCCCCTCTTGAACATTCCCCTTCTACCACTATTTAGTTTAAAGCCCTCACTTTAGCACTAGT